GTTAGATATCTCAAGCTTTGCCCTGGCTTAGGTATTCTCATATCTTCTACATCCTCTGCACGGTTAGCTGTTTACTATGATGGAGATTGGGCAGCTTGCCCTAACACCAGGAGGTCTGTTACCGGTTATTTGGTGAAGCTTGGTGACTCCCTCATTTCTTGGAAGTCAAAGAAGCAGGTTACTATATCTCGAAGCTCCGCTGAAGCAGAGTACATAAGTTTAGCCTCAACAGTTGCTGAAATTGTTTGGCTTGTTGGACTATTTTCAGAATTGGACTGGCCCATCCAGTTGCCTGTTCCTGTTTACTGTGATAGCAAGGCCGCAATGCAGATTGCTGCCGACCTAGTTTTTCATGAACGTACCAAGCACATTGACATTGATTGTTACTTTATTTGGGAGAAGCTCCAGCAAGGACTACTCAACACTTTCTATCTTGCCTCCTCTGAACAACTGGCTGATCTATTGACTAAGGGGCTTAGTAGTTTGCAGCATTCTCATCTTTTGTCCAAGCTAGGCATAATCAACATCTTCTCTGTGCCTAGCTTGAAGGGGATATTGAGGATCCAGCTATCAATAAGGATAAGCAGCTAGCTGAAGTTAGTTAGTTAATTCACTAATATTCCAGCTGTATTAGTATGTTAGTTAACTAACTACAGATTAGTTTTACACTCTACCATAGTTAACTAACTATAGATTAGTTCTACATCCTACTATAGTTAGGATATATATAGATGCCTTGTATCAAATATTAATTCAATCAACCCTGAGGGGTAGCTCAGCTGGTAAAGGCCTGGGACAAAGTCCTTCAGGTCGCCGGTTCGAGCCCCAGCAGGGCCACTGGAGGCATTACAAACCGGCCGCGTCTCCAGGGCCCCGTGGAACTAACCGTGGTGGACCCGCCTTGAAACAGCGGGACCCGGTGGGTACAGCTAGTCGGGTTCGCAAAGCGACGCCCGGAAACCACGGTAAAAAAAAAAAAAAAAAAAATTCAATCTAAGCTTTACTCAATGAAACAGTTGCTTTCTTCTCTGCTTAGACCGTAAGTCTCCATTAGCATTTCTTTTTCGTCTCAAGGAAAGTTCCTTGCATGAACTTTACACTATGTGACTTGGGGGCAAGTATCAATCTAATGTTCCTATTTAAGAAACTTGACTAGGGAGAACCGCGTATGACCAACATTTTTTTGCTGTTGGATGATTCGTCACATATTGCTTCAGACGGAATAGTTGAAGAGTGCTCATCAAAATGGGTATGTTTTTATTCCTGCTGGTTTCATAATTCTTGATTTTGAGGCAGATGTCAGAATGTTAGTCATATTGAGGAATCCATTCTTAGCCACTAGGAGGGAATATTGATGTGTAAGCAGGAATGATGAAGATACAGATCCATAATGAGGAAATGATTTTTATTGAAATTTCCTTTAAGTTACTGCATTAGTTTTTAGCAAAATAAGTTGTTTAGTTTAAGATAATTTAAATTTTGAATTTTAGTTAGGTTGTTTGAGTTGTTGAGATATTTTAGATTGTTTTAAGTTTCAAATTATGTAGATTATGCATTTTATGTTGGTTATTTAAAGCCATCAATGCTTAATAAATCATTAAAAACCATTTCGATACATTGAGAGTTATTTCAATCAATTCTTTTTGTTGTCTCATTTTAAAAAACACCAACAGTGATATCAAGAGATTCATTGATCTTACGGAATCTGTGAAATCTTCCAAAGAAATACAATACCATTTTCAACCCGTAAGGGCTACCCTTTTAATCCATCAGGGCCACTATTTTCAACCAATTTTTAACCTAAAAAATGACAAGAAACATTCTCTCTTTGAATGCCCAAAAAGTTTCACTAACAAAAACTATCAGATTTGGTCTGTGAAAATGAAATCATATTTTATAACTTATATCATATGTATTGTTGTGATGGAAGAAAAATACTTACAACAATACTTTACAAATCCTACAATATAATTGTCCAAATAAAACCACTTTGTAAAGGACTTTTACATAATACAATGCCATGGAAGGTGTTTTTGAAGATCAAAATCAAAAGAAGAAAAAGAAAGAAAAAAGAGAAAGATCGTCAATATCCAAAAAATATGCAAGTTCAAAAATAATCAAGAGAAATTCAGCATCAACTGCTAGAGCGAAAATTGAGGAGGAGCTATTTCTAAAGTTGCAGTAACTAAAGTAAAGGAGGAGTGATGAAATTTGTTTTAAGTTATTGCTGTAGTTTTTAGCAAAATAAGTTGTTTAGTCTAAGATAATTTGAATTTTGAGTTTTAGTTAGGTTGTTTGAGTTGTTGAGATAGTTTTGATTGTTTTAAATTTCAAATTATGCCGATTATATTTTATGTTGGCTATTTTAAGCCCCCAATGCTTAATAAAATCATTGAAAACTATTAAAAGTCATTTCAATCAATTGAGAGTGATTTCGATCAATTCTTTTTACTGCCCCATCTTTAAAAATACCAGCAATTTTCAATGTCTACAAAGTGCTCTCCACACCCTCGCTCTATAGATATCTATGCAGGATCACAGAGGTGGCCAAAATTTAGTGTGGGTATATAGAGAGCTTGTTGCAGAAGAATGAGCAAGTGGCGAAGTGACCCAAACATGAGCCGATAAGCATAAAAGAAAAGAGAAAGTAGGAGAGAGTTTAAGATGGCGAACCTCTCTAAATAAAATAGAAGCAAAAATTGGCTCATGAGAGGTCTTAACCATCGACTTTTGTTGTGTCACGATGTTAAATCATGCACTACTTGGGAGACAACTTGTGATTGTCATAGTATAGGTTATAAAATTAAGAAAATATATAATAAAATAAAAAAATGTGTTGTGCCACTACCGAAACTAAAGCGCTTGGTGGGATGCCATCCACCTTTAATTTCTAACAACTCTCGGGGGTGTTTTTAGGTTCTAGGCACCAAGGGAATAGAGAAACGTGCATTAAAGAAAGCTAGTGATTGGGAAAAATAAAAGCTTCTGAAATAGGGCACCTCGCGCTGTGAACCTGCAGTTTGCACCGACTAAGTCTCGCACGTTAAGCCTTGCACCACGATTATGGATAAACTTTAAACATGAAAAATACCGTACCCGGCCTGTTTCTAAGCCAAAATAAGTTGATATATCGAGTTGACCTGACCTAGTGGACTTAATATAAGCCCTAGGCACAAAATTTCTTCTCATTTCTCACCTCTGCACCGCTCCTCTCGAATTTCTCTAGAAGTGATCGTGTAGCAACCTCTAAATTCACAAATTTTCTTTTTCTTTCACTACTTCAAGTATTTAGGTGAGTCTGCAACTGATTTAGAGTTATATACTTAATTGTTTGATCCATAGTTTGTTCAACCCTTTCCCTTTTTGTGTCCTAGGTTAGAAATCATAATGTCAAATCAATAACGGGCATGTGCGTTTGATCATATGTTATTGGGTGAACCAAAATCTCTGCCTTGTTGTGTAGAAGTATAGTGCTTGATAGATATTGCTTGAAATGTGAGTTTGAGAGCCCTTGGGATTGAACTTGAAATTGAAGTGTGAATTGTTGGGCTACTATTTGAATTGAAACTACATGCTTGATAATGATGTAGTACGATGCAAAATCAAATGTGAAACGACCCTACCCTATATATTGTTAACTCAGAATTATGCAAAGTGAAAAGTGCTTAGGGTCTTTGATATCTTGAATAATCGAGAGTGATATACTTTTTTAATTTGTAGTGGTATCTAGTCGATGACTTGAGTTAGTTAGGCAAATATAAGTAGCCGGATACAAAATCTAGTATCACCATGCTAGCAAATTAAGTATGGGATCATCCTAACCCTTTTAAATCTTCATTTTAGATACTAATTAATTAAGTTTGCTAGCCATCTAAAATGAAGTTTGATAGTCTATATTTTTTTAATCTGACAAGTACTATATGTGATATCAAGGGAATATAGAGGAAAAAGAAAAGTTGGTTCCATCGGTTGGAGCCAAAAGCGGACCTACATGGGACATAGTTTGTAATTGAGGAGCTCCATTAGTCGTGTTTGCACCTCATGTATCTGCACGGAGGTTTGGACCGAGGTGGATTGAAGAAGGCGAGGGTAAGGAGTGGTTTAAAAGCCACAAGGAGCAAGGTAGCACCCTGATGAGCGGATGGATAGTTGAATATATACCCCATATTCTATGTCAATTGGGACCTGACAACCGCAGTGGCCGGCCATAAGGGGGCAGATCATCACCTTCACCTCCACAACCTTAAATGAGTTGTTGTACATGCTGATTATTGATCCCACGTCACTTTAGGAGTTATACATTCTACCTCTGTATCAGTACATTCATCACACTCTAAAGTTTAGTGCAAGGTGGGCCCACCACTAACTAAAGGGGACTCACCAGACCTTCTAATTAAGCAGACACGCTAGAGTTTAGCTGAAGATTGTTTGCCGTTGTCTTATCCCTTGAACATACATGACACATATCACCCGGTAATGGGTGTGTATATATAGTATATGATCTTGTGGTGGCCTGGGTAAGGCCATTAATGAGGGGGCGGGGGTTAAGATCTATTATAAAGAAGGTCATGCTGTTAAAAAGCCTTAGGTACAACTTTGGATTCCTTGATTTTTATTTTCTATGCTTTTTCAGAAGATATATATTCCTTTTGAACTAACTAGAGTAGATATTTTTTTAGGACTGCATTAGTGCATTTTTCATTGTTAGTAGATTTTTCCTATGATGGATGCATGGATAGATGAAGGCCGTTCCGACAGAAAATTAGTTGTTACTGTGTAGTAAAGTGGAACCCATCACTAGTTATTTTTAGTTAATATGAGGGTATCATATGCATAAAACAAATGAGATATATATAGTTAGACAGGTATGAACGTACGTAACTTCCTTTCCCACTAACTATGCATGCCTCTTAATGAGTCATTTTGTATATATATATATAATAGGCAATTCGCAAAATTATATGCCAAGAAATAACAAAACTTTTTAAAGGTGTGTTTACCTGTGGTGGGATAAGGCATACAATCAATTTCATCTTTTATGCCAATTGGAACTCCATCCAATACCGATAATGCTTCACCTGACAACAATCACATTGACAAAAATATTAAAAAGACGATCGCGTTAATTTTCTTCTAATATATTACGCAAAATATCATCTACAAAAGAAAACAAAGGAAAAGCAAAGTAATTAATTTACTCGCATTTTAGGTTAAATAAATTTGACTAACCATAGAATTAGATGAAATTTTTAACGTATAAGTTAAATATATGTGAAGTACTAAAAAATTTCTCTTAAAAGAATTATGGTGTTACTTTCACATGTCTCTTTTTTTTTTTTTTTGGGAAATGAACTCTAATATCGAATGGGTTCTAAAAGTTATGTTACTATGGTAAAATGGAAATGCTAAAACTTTTTAAAAAATCACATAGAAAAATATGTGATTTATTTTGGGTAGCCTAAAACTGATACTAATATATTGCATTAATAGGATAAAGAGAGTAAAAGATTTATTATTATGTCATTGCTTTAATAAATATTTTAGAGAAATCGATATATACAATATGCTAATTTTCCGCCCATTTTAAATCTCTTGTTAACCAAACAAATTAGGTCCAATGATTTGTACAATATAATTTTCTAAAGCCTCTCAACAACTAATTATTAGGAGAGATAAAGGCTAATTGAGCCACATAATCCTTATGATTGAAATTATCAAATATCATTTACACCGTGTTGATATTCAATTTTGATAGTTTATAAATTTGATTAATTATTTAAGCTTCTACAGTTGCAAATAAAGTAGAATGAATATTACAAAAAGTTAAAATATTTTTCAGGAAATATTTCCATTTCATTTGGCCAAAATATACCCTAATATATTTAATTTTTAAATATTATTAATGTGAAAATCATTTTATTTCAAAATAAGTGCATGAATGAAGGATGTATGAAAATTAGATAAGTTATAATTCAATTATCATAACTAGTCCTTTTTATTACTCATTTTAGTCTGTTAATTTAAAAGGCTTGCTGAATTAATTAGGATTAAAGATTTGTCTCAATTTTTATTTCAATTGTGTCAATTTCAATCGCTTTGACTACAATCAAATTTTGATTGAAATAAATTTGGTCATATAATCCTAAATTCAACTCTAGTCTGACAATCTTATCTTAACCTTCATATATCTGCTCCGCTCCGACCGACCCGATCCACTCTTATTTTATTTCAAAATTTGATTGAAATAAAATTGTTCATATATTTTCCCTTTCACTCTCTCTAATCCACCCTTAATTAATTCCCCCACCTAATTAACCCTAAGATTTTTCTAAGATTCCAGAACGCCCTGATCCTTTAAAGGGTTCTTGTTTTTTTTTACCTCCTCCCAATTGATCAAGAATCAGAAATTCCAAAATTAATTTGGGGTTCTATATAAGAATGATAAGTTGGTATTTATCAACTTATCTCTTCATTTTTACTTAGGCTTTTGTTAATAATAAATACATAGTGCTGATTTTATTGTATATTTCAGGTTTTATATGGTATAGAAGAGTTTTGGTTGAAAAACAAGTCAATTAAAGAAAATGAGAAGATAAGAGTCATAAAAAAGCAACACATGGGAGACACTATTAGCATCATTGGCAGAATACAATTTTTTAGAGGTCTAGGGTCCGCACACCACACTTGGGGATTGAAAACTTGAAGATTTGAGTTGAAAAATCTCTTATACTTTTCTTCATTTCATGTTGAATATCTAAGTGTGTAGTATTTTATTACATGACTTTAATCTTGCTAATTATGAGGATATTCATTATAATAGTTTTGATTAAATATCTTGTTTTGCTTATATATTGAATGATTTTTTATCATTAATAAAGTGATGTGAATGCGTCTTTAATTATTCTTATTCTTTAACCCTAGGATTCACCTATTTAATTTTATTTGAGGTTGGGATAGATTAATTAACGAGAATTTGGAGTATTAACCCTCATTTAATTTTAATACTTATAGAAAACTACCTGTAGCCATATTTTGGTGTCCTTAATGCACTTAATCTAGCAAGAGACGGCCAATTAAGTAGTCTTGTTAGTGTCCGATTCCGAAAGAAACTACTATAGAATAGTTAGCTGAGATTAATTAGCATAAACTCGCTCTTATTTGTAAAATCGTGAAACAAATTAGATCGTTACTTGAGAGTGATTTTCCATGTATCCATGCTTGTGACCATTCATCATTTTTTACTTACTTTGTAGATTAGTTTATATTTATGCGTAAATAGTTATAGTTTTCTCAAAAATCAATTATTATTAGTGTTTGGTTTAGCATAGTTTGTGATAATTTCTAGCTTATCTATATACTGTTCTTTATGAGATTTGACCCTCGAATCATAATTGTTTAAATTATATCGTATAAGACTCTGTACGCTTTGAGAAGTTGATTTGGACATTATCAATTTTCACGTCGTTATCGGGGAAAATTTTGACCTTTTTGGGTTAGTTTGGGATCTAAACTTTCTTGTTTTGGTCCAAACTTGTGAATGTATTTGATTTTGGGAAAAAGGATAAATATATCCCCGAATTATTATAAATGGTACATCAATACCCTTCGTTATACTTTTGGGTTGTGTATGTCCTTACCGTCAATATTCTAGAACGTATATACCCTTAGAATAGACTGAGGGACACGTGTCATAATCTTAAAGGCTAGCACAAATTTAATTTAATTTTTACCCACAATTACAAAAACCCGCCCATCTTTCTCAATTTTAACCCAATCATGACCCAAATTGTAACCAAAGCACCCAAAATCAAAAGAGAAGTTCGGTAAGACAATCAGAACTCTCAAATTCCTCTTTTCTTAACTTCTACAACAAAGACTTATTTCAAACATTTAGATTTGAACAACATTTTCAAATGAAGAAGAACATGATTTTTTTTCCAGAAATCCTTTGGACAATTTCTTATTCTTCATCTTCTTCAACAAAAATCGTTTGTAGAACTTTTCAGTTAATTTGGCTGAAATCACTCATAAAGATTTGATTTTGAATGTATGAGATTGGAAAAACATGATGGAACTCAAATTCTTTAATTCAATTTCACCTATAAAACAACCACCAAGTCTTAATCTCTTCCCCACACTCAATCCACCAAGTCTTAATCTCTTCCCCACACTCAATCCACCAGAAAAAAACTTTTGACTTTCCACAAGTTTTGATATTTTTCTAACTCTTATTGTATATGCAGTTTTTCATGCCTCAATGAACACAAAACACAAGCACCCATGATTGAGCATAAATTAGAGAATGAAGCAGCCTAATAAGAGTTGGCTATGCTGACAAGGTGCACGTCGGCTATGCTAACACAAAAGAAGTGTACACCCAGATGGTGTTTGCTCATCTGGTATGCGCGGGGCTCGAAGGACTAGAAGAAAAAGAATTAATTTGTGGAAGAACTGACACCAATGCTTGTTTAAGTTAGGTTAGATTGGGAAAGAAGAAGAGAGTTTTTAACCGGGTAGGGGTGGGTTAAAATTATGAAAAATGGGTGAGTTTTTTTAATTGTGGGTAAAAATTAAATTAAATTCGGATAAACCTTTAAGATTATGACACATGTCCCTCTGTCTATCCTAAGGGTATATACGTTCTAGAATATTGACAGTAAGGACATACACGATCCAAAAGTATAGCTAGTGACGGATATTGACGTACCATTTATGATAGTTCGGGGGTATATTTGTCCCTTTTCCCTTTGATTTTTTGTATTTCTCTGTGTTAGTTAGATTTTATTTTTATTACTTGTGTCACTATGGCATTTTGGAATGAAAATGGTGGCAACCCATATTTTGATGATCCCTATCTATATTGTGGATGTGGAGGACCTCATTTTTAAAAAGATTGTGAAAATGCTCCTGGGAAAGAGATGTACAAAAAATCCCAATCCTATGATCAATGGGTATAATTTCAATTTACTTTGTGGTGAAGTTGGACATTGGGGTGATTTTTCCAATTATCCCCCCCACCCCCACCCCCCACCCAAAGTTATTCTAACGAATATGCTAGTTGTGCTTTTGAGTTTGATAGAAAAAATGACACGACAAAGTGAAGAACAAAGTACCAAATTTGAAGGCATTCAAACAAATCTCCAAACCCTTTTAGAGCAAGAAATTAGATTATAGGAGGATCTAAAACTTCTCAACCAATCCATCTTTGCAAATGTCAAGGAATTGAAAAGAGAAAAAGATTCATGTGAGGATATCGACCCCTCAAGTGTCATGAAATATCTATTCCTCAAGAAGAAATGATTAAAAATAAATGTTTCAAGCTCAACGGATAAGCCCAAAGTTTTTTATTAACACAATGAAAATGAAGAAGTGGTTCAACTTGAAGAAGAAGACGTAAGTCAAAGAAAAATCTCTAACCCTAGAAAAGAAGAGTGTATTGAATCTATCAGTACGTGTATTTTACAGATTTGGTACGATACATAATCCTTTCCTTAAAAAATCATTTGGACTCTTTACCCAATTCTAATATACTAAAAGCTTTTTCAAATACCTTTTTAAATGATTTTCTAAAAATAAGATGAGAACTCTGTTATGAAAAGTTTTGACTTAATTAAAAGACAATCATAACAGACAATAATAATTTCCTAATTGAATATAACATATCAAAATTTGAAAAAACATTTTAAATGAATAAGGCGATGGTAGGTACCTTGTTGGTATCGATGAGTTGATTGAGCAGCTTGTCTCAAGATATCGTGAGCGTCAAAGTTAATAAAAAATGACATTTGCATTGAAGGAGTAGATGAGTGCTCAACGGCTGATAAAAACCTTTCCATCACCTATCAAAAACAAAAACACTTAACTATTTTATTCAATATCCCATGGAAATGGTGTAACAAAGAGAGAACTTTTCTATTGAAACAAAATAAATGATGAATTTACGGGGAGTATATTTTATATATTTTCAATTTTATAATTTTATTACTAAAAATATTATTTCTTTAAATAATTTTTTCAATAAATCACTAATAATATAGAAAGAATATTATAATTTTTATTTGAAAAGGCTAACAAAAAATGATAATAGCCGAGATAATCTTGGAAATAAAATCATTATTTATTTCATGCAATGTCTATTTTATCCTTGACATTTTCAATCCTCCATCTATGTAATATCTTTTTATATTATGTATAATATTTATTTCTTTAACCTAGGTATTTGACTATTTATAGATTCTTATTTAAGTTCACTAACCATATAAGAAGAATAATATTTTCATGATTTTGTCACATAATATAATGCTAATTTTTTATGATTATTATTTTAATATTTCGTGTATTAAGTTTGTATATATATATATATATACTAATTTTGATACATGTGTGTTGCACGTGAATCTCAAATCAAGGTATACACTATTTTTTAAAATAATGCAATACATCTAAATCAAACATTTATGTAAACGATTATAAATGGAATAATAAAATATGGGTTCTATGAATATTTGAAAGTTTATCATTAGTGAAAATTCTCCCCTTCCACACTCTCCAACGAAAGAAACTGATTTAAATAGCATCCCCTTCCTCCAAATATTTGAAAACTACTCCCTTTTTCCTCTTTTAATCCTCATGATATTATACGATGATATAATTTCACTGTGAATTCTATTTTAGTGCTCCCAATCCACCATGCATGATCTCTTTCTAGGTCTGTTATGGACTTTATGTTCTCCAAAATATAATTTGTTTTCTTTAGAAATGATTTATTTTTACTTGTCTATATCCCACTCATTATTGTTGATATACTTCTTGACTTTCACCTCCACAACTTCTGCTTTAGTATTTTTTATGAAATAAAAAGCACTTTGTTGAATCCAATTATCATACTAAAAATTATAACTATCTGTTTTTGCTTATCATCAATTTTGATCATGTTCCACCTCTTCTCGCACCTATATCAATTTTTTCCAAACATGTGAAGTCCCAATATCCTTTGCCACCGCCAAATAATCTTTTTTGCAATACGTGTTCCACATTTAAGAACTCTATAATGAATTAGTAGATACCCTAAAATCCCATCATAATTTAGCAAAAAAAGGCATTGATACATCATGTAGTATCTAAATCCCACACCTCCTTTCTTTTGAGTAAAACATATATATATTTTTTCATGTCACCCAATATTTATCTTTATGCTCTATTTACCCCTTGAAGAACTTGACGAACATCTGATGAATTATGTTAATGTCGCCTTTAGGAGGATTCATGGTTGATAGTAGATATATAGGCATAGATTGCAACACATGAGCTATTAAAGCATATCTTCGCTATTTTGTCATGACTCTTCTATTAATCTCTCTCATGAGATCTTTAAATTGTGATATCCTTTTTTTTAAAAAACCGGGGCATCCAAGTAGTTAAAAGGAAAAGAACCTTGATATATTCCTGTCCATCTTTTCAACTTCTGTCCTAGTACCTCTAAGGCCTTCTCATGTAACTAGAAGAAAAACTCATTTTTATTGATTAGCATTCATGAAACATATTTCATATTTGATCAACATTTTCATCGTCTTTTTAATTGAATTTTTGTCTCCTAAAAAGAATAGAATGGTATCACTTTCATACGATTAATGATTTATTGTTAGATTTCATTTTGATATACCATACGTTTTGAATTCAACAATCTCATGAAGCTTATTCAAACCGCTAGCTAGCAAGCACTTCAGGAGCAATGATAAATATGATGGGTGATAGATGATATCTTTATTTTCAACCCCTAGATGAATGAAGAAACGATATGCCTGTCCATTCACAAATATTGAATACAAGTTGTTGGACACCAACCTCCATACCATATCAATAATGATTTCTAAGAAGTTAAAGTCCTTAGTACTTTTGTTAGGAAAATACAAGATGTCATGTCGTATGCTTTTGTCATATTTAGTTTCACAACCACATTCTATTAAATATTTTTTAGTATAATATCCCTGATTATTTTTTGTACCTATAACACATATTCTTTGATGCTTTTCCTCTTGATAAAACCAGTTTGATTTAGTGAAATTGAATTAGGTAGAATCCTCACAATGCTTTCATGAAACATCATGTACATGATTTTATTGGCAAAAGTACAAAGTCTTATAAACTTAGATCGATGAAAAGCTTAGACAATTTTTTTTGGAATAAGAACCAATTTTGTCAAGTCCGGAGCTAAAAGGGCAAAAACAATTGTCAAAAATTTCAAAAGGACATATCAATTTTTTTTTTAACCAATAGGGTAAAATCGCTCCTGAGGGAGCGATATCCTTCGAAGAAAATCAACTCCATCTACTCCGTTAAAATAAACAAAAATCGCTGCCCCAACAGCGATTTTGTCGATTTTTAAAAATTGTTTTTCTCTTAAATTCGCTGCCTTGTCAATTTTTTTTTTTAAAATCGGTACACCAGCACCGATTTTGTCAAATTTTAATTTTTTTTAAATGACTGCTTCAGCAGCCTTTTTAAAAAAGAAAATTTAATATCTCTGCAATAGCAGCGATTCTCTTTTATTTTTTTATTTTTCTTTTTAATTTTTTTTCCAAAACTTCTTTTAAAAAAAAAGTTTAAAGACAACGCTTTGGAAAAATAAAAGTTTTAGGAAAAAGTTTTGGAATAAAACGCTGCTCAGCAGCTATTTAAAAAACATATATAGAATTTAAAGAATTTTAAAGAAAATCGCTGCAATTGTAGCGACTTTAATTTAATTTTCTATGTAAAAAAAAGAAAAAACACTGCTCGAACAACGATTTTTTTAAAAAAAAATAAAAACTGACAAAATCGCTGCCGATGCAGCGATTTTTTTTTTTTTTTTAAAATTTTGTTGGCAAATTTGCTGCTGTGGCAGCGATTTTATGAATTTGTTTTTTTTTTGACAAAATCGTTGCTATATATGGCAGCGATTTTGATATATTTTAACGTAACAGAGTAGACTGAGTTAATTTTCTCCGAAGGATATCGCTCCTAAGGGAGCGATTTTACCCTTTTGATTAAAAAAAATTAATGTGCCCTTTTGGAATTTTTGACAATTTTTTTTTTGCCCTTTTGGCTCCGGACTCCAAGTTTGTGAGTGTTATGAATGTTGGAAGATTGTATCCACACAAAAAAAACCTTGACCATTTTGGTGATGTCTTCTCCAATAATATCACAACATTTAAGTTTCAAGAAAATCATCCTGCCTATTTGTGCCATCTCCTTTGAGAGCACAAATCAATGTCTTAAACCTCTTTATGTTAGGATTTTGCTCTGATTTTCTTACCTTATTTGAAGTTTATTTTTTTTTAATAGAAAAGAAAAAATATTACCATAAATATTTTTACTTTTCCTGTTCAGGAAAATATAATTTTCTTTCATATTTGGTTTATTCTTTCCTTAAAGGGAAAGTTTGGAGATGTATAAATTGAAGATCCCTATTTTCATAACATAACACAATAGAATTCACAATGTAGTCGCTTAAGAGTCTTGTTTATTGAGAGATTTTCTCCTAAACATATTTATGTTTTTTTAATATTAGTTTTCAATATGCAGGTCGCTTGACCAAACCATATTAATAGTTTATCTTTAGTATATTTTTACTTGTCGTCTGATTTGTCAACCATATGATTTGAAATTGTAAATTTCCGCATGACGCCCTAATCACCTTCATAACCCAACACTTTAATATATGGCAGTCTGACCATTTCCTTATTTTGATTCTGGGAAATCAAGTTAGGAATGTTGTCTAACATTCTTGGTTGTTCAACACATCTATATTTTTAAACTGGTCCTTAGGGAAAGTAACTGTTGTTGCATCAATTTGTTCATTTGAATTCACAACATTCCATTGAATTATTTGTACCTCACTAGTGTACAGTTTCTTCATCCTACCTTTGATATATGAGCGTGAAAACTTGTCTTTATGCCCCTATATTTGAATCATTTCATGCCTGCCTTTTTCTTCCGGTACTCTTCTTTATATACAAATATTTCCTTAGTTCAATTTGTACTCTTTTTTAGTTCAAGTGTATTTTCCTATAAGGGTGTAATTTTCAGTTTGTCTCCTTCAGTTCGATAACATCTTCCAGAATAGTCATTTATATCAAAAATATTACCAAAAGTCTATATGCTTTACATTAGAATGACTTTCTTGATCTTTTTCATCTTGGTATTAATTTCTATAAAATAATCTCCCACAAAGTGTATCACCCCATGCTTCTTTAACAATATTTTGAAATTGAGGATGATTGACCCAAAAATTGAGAAACTTGAATGATTTGATCACAACCTTTTCCTCTAAGCTGCACTGGACTAGTAATGAAGCATGATATGATCCTTGTTTAACTAAATGTTGTACATTGTTGTTGGGAAGAATGTATAAGAACTCTTGTTCTATCCAATTTCTTGAAAAATACAATTCCCTTCAATCTTGACATTCCATTAAATTAAGCTTATTCCCAATCTTGAGCAACTCTATTAGCACATTATTATTCATATATATATATATATACATTGAGAAAAAATCTCATGTAAGTTTCTCCTCCCTTCCTTAAGTATGACATTAAAATCACCTTCTACTATCCATGACTCACTACTACTTACCTCAGTTATACTTTCTATGTCTTCCCACAATTCCACCTCTCTATTGCATTACACCTGACATAATTGAAGTTATTTTGAAGAGCTTATTAAGAAAACTGAACCTCATAATTATTTGTTGAGGCCTGTCAATTTTTCTTCTTTTCAGAATATTCATATCTTGATGATGAGTTTGTCGTCACTGTATTTTTAAAATTAAGTCTTCTTTTATATTGTCTAGATCTTGGAAATATTTCACTAGAGCTATAAATGAATGAAAAGTGATGACTGTTGCTAAGTGATGTATTTTTTTGGTGTTGTTTGATTTTGTTTTCCTTGAATGCTCCTTCCACCCATCCATTCCTTTGTTGAATCAACACCTATCGTACGTATTCGGTATATCCCCTGAGGTGAGGTCTGATTCTTTTCGTGCAAGGTCTTAAATTCATTCTATGTACTATTTTCTTTACTTGATTGTTGTTCATCCTTTGGTGGTTGCTTCCGATTTCAGACCTTCGATCTCCTTTCCCCACCTTCCATAATTTTTATTTATTTTTCTGGATTTGAAAATTCTCTTTATCAATAGCTTAATTTGCTTCCTACTTTTGGGTGTAATTTATTCATTTGATTACCTTTGCTTCCTCTTCCTCGCTCTTTCTTGAATACAATTTCGGATGTAGTGCATAATGTTCTTGTTCATTATGACCATGTAACCTACAATCGACTCCAATATTTTGATATTTAATTTAAAGTACGCACTGGATATGACCATTGTTGTTGATCAGTTAAATAAAAACATGATTAATTGGTAGGCATTATTGGGTTTAATTTACCGGCAACTAGGGTGGGTAGTTGAAAGCGTTTTCTTATGTTGTAGGGTTGCCTGATACTAATATTGTCTTGTATTGCTTAACCCATGTTCTACCGCCATCTATCAAGTTTCAAAAAAAATAAATTGTGAAGACATACGTTATCTTTTTCAGATTCTATGTATTTGGACTACAATTTTTTAGTTAACAACTCAGTAATTAATCATTCAAAGATTATAGTTATAAGATCAAGAGACAGAAGAACTAAGACTATCTATTTCTCTCTAATCATCGACTGCCATTCAATGTATATATTTGTAGAGTTGCAGTAGGATACAATGCAAGTAATAATAGTTAAAACATATCCGAACACATACTGGAATGGACACACATGCACTAATAATAGTACAAAAATTACTTATACAAGGGTGGATGATGAAAAAGTTATTATATGATGATTCATAATAATAATAATAATAATAATAATAATAATGAAAGGATTGTTATGCGGTGATTAATATGAAGGAATTGTTATAAGTTGATTCGTAATAGTGTTATTAAGCGAGGATTACTTACTTTAACCACACTTTCTTAGAATAAAAATATGCAAGTACTACATTTCTTAAAATAAAATTCAAAAAATAAGAAAAAGCAATAGGATAAGAGAATTATCACACACATTTTAATGGTATATTATACGTGTGAGAAATATTTTCAATGTAAGTAACACGATATAATATAATTTATATTTATTTATATAAGAGTAGAAATGAGAAAAAGAATAATAATTAATACCTTGGTGGGTGTAATAAGCTTAGAATTATAAGCAGTTGAATAATCCAATATGGTCCACCTACTGAAGCTGTATAGAGGCTTTGGAGCTACCATACATCCCAATGCCTGCCTAACTTGCTCCCTTGGAGACGCTCCACTTTGATTTTCTTCTTCTTTTCCACCTGTAACCAATTAGGTACTCTATTTAATTTATTTTAATAAATGAATGCTTTACGCCTAACTATTAGATTGGGCCTAATTTAATTAAATAAGAGGAAATTTAATACATGCACTGAACATCGGGGCGTTTGATATTGCTGGTGAGCATTTAATTTAAAGCAGTATAACAAACTATTACTATAAAGTTATGAAATCAATAGTTGGTTTGAATTTTAAGTGACATCTAAAAGTTTGGCATGAATAACAAACTATTACTATAAAGTTTGAAGGTGATGGGCAATTAATTGGAGTAATTAAGTTGAACTATGGACGGAAGAATTGATCGTTAGGTCTAGAAAAATGGAGAAATGACATGAATAGACAACACCCCAACATAAATTGGCACAAAATAGCTTAAAAGTATTTGACTAAATATGATATAAAAATAATTGACATAAAGTAGCCAGTTGGCCACAATGTTGGGGTTCATTTTTTTAATAGCATATTGTCTCGGCTGCTATTTTTTTTAAAATGAAAACGAAATCCTTAATTAACACATTAAAGAAGGCTACACCCACTTTTTTTTTTTAATGCTTTAATTAACTCATTAAATTACGATTCGTAGCTACATGCTAGAGAGAGGAGAGAGGCGAACGAGATTGGAAGAAGGAGGAGAGAGGCGAGCGAGAGAGGGAAGAGATTGGAGAGAGGCAAATTGAATTTGTATATCTATTAGATAATTGTATATATATGTAACTGGTATACATATGTATCAATGATTGTATTTGTATATATATATATATATATATATATATATATATATATATATATATATATATATATATGTATCAATGTATACAATAGTATTAACAAAATACAATTTGTATCAATGAATAAAATGTATACAATCATATCAATTTGTATTTGTACATGTATAATTTATTTTCATCATTTGTATCAACGAATACATGTGTATCACTAAAGAGATCTGTATAGTTGACACTTATAATTTGTATTAGTTTCTCAGCATGTGCGTTGCACGTATGTATCATATCATATAGTACACGATGTTATAAAATAGAATGAATATTACTAAATTAAAGCTTTTTTAGTACATAATTATAATTGAAAGAATATTGGACAAGTTCTTTCAAATGATTAATACAAATTTTCATAAAGTTAATTATTTTTTGAGACAAAAATGACCAGATCTCATTGAAATATTTCAAAACACATTCAAAAAATTTTAATATGGGGAGAAAGTGATATTTCTTAAGTAGTATTGTTCTTTACTTTACTCAATTTGGTAAACAAACTTAACCAACAAAATAGAAAAATAATATCAAGATAAAAAAATGATCAACAATAACTTTTCCTCTTGAGGTTACGACTGTAAATGATGGACACCATTTAAATACAATTATTCTCTTAGATATTAATACTTGAAATTTAATATGTGCATGACACTAAGAACGATTATCATAAATATTTTAATATTTTATCTTTAAACGTGATATATCTTTTATAAAATATTATTATTCAATTAATATTTGAGTAAGTCCATGATATAGATGTAATTTTACAAAAAAAAAAGTGTACCTATATAGTGAATATCAATACTTTTATAAGTTATTTATAGAATATTTTATTTTATTTTATTTAATTTAAGATCATTTTATGATCAATGACTACTTTCTTATCATTTTTATATAGCTAGCAAATAGTGTATCTTGTGACATAAAATTTTCTTAGATCAAAATGAATACAAAATAACAGGAAATTCATACTTAAAAAGAATCATACTCAACATAAATATAAGAAAGTAAAAATATGTGGATCAATTCATAGACAATGAAGAAGGAAGGCGAAAATATATGTTCATGCTATATTCACCCTAGTGTTTCATTTGATTGAAAATTGTTGCCACCAACACTTTACTTTTTCCGTTCATTTTTACTTACACATCTATTAAAAAATAATTATTATCACGGTTATATTATCATATTATAAGTAAAAGTGAAATCTATTTTTGAAATAGTAGACTTAACATCAAAACTACTAATTCAATGGACTACGTTGATGCCCGATGTATTAGCAAAATTAGGAAGAAACTCCTTCATTTGAGGTTAAAAGAATAAGAAATGGAATTACAAAGAAGAAATATCTTACCCCAATCATGTGCCTTTTTTGTATTTGTTTATTTATTATTGTCTCTCCCACATCTTTATCTATTTATTTTATTAGAAAAAATAATTCACAATGTGTGTATTTAAATTCTCTCTCGAAGGAACACACAAAAGAAATTATTCAAGAAACAAAATAAGAAAAATAAATGAAAATTCTCGCGCACTATATATAGAAGATTTATGTGTTAAGCAAAGTTCATAGATAATTGCATATTTCTTTGTTCTCTTCTTTTCTTCTTTGATAGAAAGTCAGTACCTAAATTTCAATGCTAAGAACTTCAGCGAAACATATCAATGGATTGGGGATGAATCATTTATGAAAATTTTAACTGATCTCAAATTGTCACAGAAAAGAGATCCCCTAGAATTTATAAGGAGTGAATGGTTGTGATTTATGACCGAAGAAACATGAAGGTAGAAATTGTTGTGACTATTTGTAGGAAATTAGTCTTTTTTTCAATAAATAAAACATGTAGGTTAATTAAAAGAGTATTAATATTCTAAAATGATAGAAATAATATTGATGTATGTATGTGATGACAATAGTCCGAGGAAAATATGAGTGTGAATTGATGAATGATTTGCTACAATTTGTTTACCAACTCTTTCTCATGTGGTACCTCGAATTTCGTTGGGTTTCGAACTTAATCAACTATTGCAAATAACAATTGAGATTTTTTAAGAAGAAGAAGAGTAGAAAACCTAAAAAAATTGTAGTTTAAAAGTGAGAGGAAACCCTCTATTTATAGCTAGCAAATAGTAGTACTATGAATATGTTCTGATTATGCCTTATCAGATAAGTCACAACCCTTCAAAAAAGTCCCTGCTCATCGAACAAGACATAACCCTTTGAAAAAGTCAAAACTCATCGGATTAGGCACAACCCTTTGGTAAAGTCACAATCCTTTGGAAAAATCACAATCCTTTGGAAAAGTCACAACTCATCGGAAATGTCACAATCCATCAATAAAGTCGCAACAATTTGAAAATGTCACAACCCTTTGGAAAAGTCACAACTCATCGCAAAAGTCACGATCCATTAATGTAAAAAGATTTCAACTTTTAAAATAATATAATTATATAAATAAAATAAACTGAGTATTTTTAAAACTTAAGTGTTCACCCTGAGATGCAAAGATTAATCTAGAAATAGCCACCTCACTTGTAATAAGTATATATAAAAAGAAAACAAGTAAAGGGAATTAAATAGCAAATTAACCTTCATAATAGTGAAGTGGAACATATAGAGGTGACTCTTGCAACTCAGCAAATGTAACAAGCTGCCAAATGAAACTATCTGTCAGTAATAAAATACACATAACTTGAGCATATATAGCTTAATATAATATGAGATAAAATTAATGTACCTTGTGAATTAAGTTATTTCTCTTGAGAAAATAGAGCATAATGGATCCAAAGATGGGCGTTTCCAACAACCATGCAAACACTTTAACAAGAAACCCGGCCATCCTAGGGGCTGCATATAAATATACTAAAATTGTAATATAATCACAAAATAACATATTCAGTGTAGAAGGTCTAAAAATGAACACAAATCTTATTACTATCTCAGAGGTGAGGAAATGAAACTATTTCTGATAGACCCCTGACTCAAAACAAAATTTAACTAATTTTCAAATTGCAAATTAAACGTTGTATTAATTTTATTCATGATAACTTATATCTTAACTAGCTATTAAATGATGTGTAACTTATAATTATTTTTTACATAAATAAAAAGGAAAACAAAATTTAATTAAGTTAAACAACCTTCTCCAACAATTATGATCAATCAACCATATTTTATGGCCGTTGCCTTTTTCATTAAATGCTGAAACGTATACACTATACACCTTTCACCTCCAGGTTTACCCCATCCTATCTTCACTTGCATCAAGCATTTCATTTTATTATTTTTTGAATTTTCGTTAAGGGGATTAAAATATATATAAAAAAAGGAATTAATTATATAAAAATATTTAATATTTCTAATTTTTCAATGAAAGAAATTCATCTAATGATCAACTTTGTAAAATAAAGATGATTTTAAGGTAGGAGAATTAAATCATAAGAAGATGATTCGTCCTATCCGATCTATTTAATAATTCAAGAACTCATCAATCTCCCATAGTCATACTAAATAATTTATTTTAATTAAGAAATCAAATAAAAAAGATTAAAACTTAGTAAAATTTGATAGATTGAGTTTTAACCAATTATTTAGTCTAACTCATCTCAATTGATCAAATAACATTTAGGTAAATTAATAACTCATCCGTTTATTCACTCCATCTAAATCCAACCTAATCTATTCATTAATTTAACACCCTATAATAAGATGAAGCAAAAACCAGGACAATCTTTAAAAAAATAAAAGTGTATATTATAGAATCATCGAAAAGTTTTAAAAATATTTTCTCCTTTGGTATATATGAGTAAGTTAACATTTTTAATATCAATTGTTGAAGTGATGTGAAAGAGAAAAATGAAAAGAAAGCAATATAATTAGTAAATAAGATGAACCTTTGACGTTGGCTGTGAGATAAAATTGATTACTATTGGGACCAACATCAACATCTTCAACAGCTTTGTAAATCTCTCCTTTAGTCTTCAAAAATCCCATTTTTATTTGAGAGAGAGAGAGAAAGAGAGAAGAGTGGGTGGAAGTGAGTGGAGAAGAAGAACAAGAAATGGGGTGGTATATATCAAAGTTTTTTATTTATGGGACAAAACAACAATTCAACTTACGTTGCCCATGCAAATTTTCTTTCTTTCTTTCTTTCTATATACTCTCTCCATTCATTTTTACTTGTCACTTTTTGACTTGACAGACTTATTAAAAAAACAATTATTGATATACATATTTTACCATACTATTCCTATTAAATGATGTTTAATATTAAATTTTTGAAAAATAATTTAAAGAATAAGTATTTAGTGTTGAGGGTAAAACCTAGAAAAAATAATTATCTTTTTTTTTTATATGATAAAAATGACAAATATATTTTAGAAACAAATGACAAACAAAGTGAACGAAGAGAAACTAGCTATTTATAGAGATGTTTTTGTAGTTTTCACTATTAGAAGGGATTCTCTTTGTAAAAGCAAAAGTTAGGGAGGGTCCATTCCAATTGTAGAACAAACAATTCTTTTGACATTTTCTAAGCATAAGCGTTACAAACACTCACTAATTTGTCATTTTCCATTTCTCTTTGCTTCTCATTCTTACTCTCTTTTTTTTTTCTTTTCTTAAAACAACAAAAAAATATTACTAGTACATAGCAGCCCAATTGGCGCACTCATTAACCATCGCTAATTAAGTATTAACAAGAATTATTATCGTTTTTCCTACATTTTTTTCACTTTCGTTAAAAATTTGTATGTAAAAAAAACACTTAAAATTTGTCCTTTTTACTTTCATCATATTTTTCTTTTTCAAATTTTACCCTAATTTTTTTTTTAAAATTTTTATGGAAAGACCCCATCTGTATCTTTTTTTTTTTAAAAAATAAAATAAAATGAAAATAGGGCATAGCCCATTTATTAAATAGCTAAAAACTGTACCAAAAGGAAATGAGCCATTTGAGGAAATGAAATAAGACAACAAACAGAAAATGACCCCATTAGTATCATCCCCTTCGACAACCTTGTTTATTTATCTTTTCAACAAGCTGTTGCATTCTGACACTCATTGGGAGCAGAGTCGACTTAATAAGATTGGAGGCCTAAAGCGAAATCCTAAAAATGGGCCTTAATATTATTTTTATTTTATATTTTTTAAAAGAACAAGCATCATATATACTTTTATTTAAAATTTGCTTTTCTAACTTTTTTAAATGCGAATTCATTAATTACTGTTTTATAATCAATTTTTTTTAGTAATTCCTTTTCAATTGATAATATAGCTAATTCATTCATTCTCTCATGAGACATTGTTGATCTTAGATTTTATCAATTGTAGTTTGAAAAATTTCTTTCAATTGAAGCAACAATTATAGAAATTATTAACATTATTCTATAAGCAATATATGCATTAGGAAAAGAATCAAGTCTTTTTATTTGATTTCAAGTATTTCCATTAGATCATTGTCTTCCACTTGTATTGTTTCTCTTAACACTTTTAATTCAAAGAATAAATCTAAACCATTAATATCAAAATAACTATTATGTATTAAAGAAAGTTCAATGTTAAGACAATGTTTTTTTAAAATTCTCATCATCTAGAAACCAAAATATTTTCATATGCTTCAAACTATTCAAAACAAGATGTATACGTAAGAATTAAGAATATCAACAATAATAAGGTAACAGGAAAAAATTATAAAATAAAGTTGGAATAATAAAACCTGGCACGAATTTGATAAGTTGATATAACAATATCAAAATAGTGTTGCGTTCCTTCAATATAATGATTGCTTGTCGCACTTCTTGAGATTTTGAAGAAGACACTCAAAAGCAAATTTTATGTTTTTTTCAACTTGTACTTAACAGTAAATCAAAAGATTTTGTAGGAGAGAGTTCAATATTGAGAATAAAAATAATAAAAAAGATGATATAAGGTAAATAATAACATAAGGTCAAATTCTTAGAGATAACCAAGGAAGCATATATTTCCCACTTAAGAAAATTATTCCCCAATAATGTTTCGTTCACTTTCCTAAAGTGGGAAATCTAACAACATTCTTTTTTACTTCTTACATGTTTTTTATAATTTAAAAGTACATATAATTTTTTTCTATAATATGTATAAGTACTTTTTTTTAAATGGGGGCCTCCAAAAATATTGGGGCCCAAGCGATGGCTTTAGTGGCCTAGTAGTTAAGACGGCCCTGTTTGGGAGTTGATCAGTCTAGAAGAAAATAAAAAGTATCAGAGTTAGCTAATGTTACTTATATATATTCCACAAAATGATAAAGATCAGAGTTAATAAATATAGTTGGGATAGAGGAAGAAAATACTCCATTTGTTCCTATTTATATGTCGTCCTTACTAAAAACAAATGGTTCTGAATACCCCCTCCGTTCCTATTTATATGTCATCATTTTATTTTATATGTCATCCTTACTAAAAATAGATGGTCCGTAATATTTATCATTTCACAAAATCAATGCATAAATGACATTATTCTTCCTATTTTACCCTTTGAAAGTTCTTAGCCTTGGAAATATACAGTTGTTGAACATAGAAAAATTAAGTAATTAATCATGTTCATTGGTCAAATTAGTTAATTAAAGTAAATCAATTCATGTTCATTTATAGAAAACCTGACTTCAAGAGAACACTAAATAAGGATACAATGGTAAGCTTACCTAGTTTCTTCAGGGGAGTAAAACCTAAAATGGTGACATATAAATAGGAACGGAGGGAGTAGTTGTGTAATACCTCGGAAAATGGAATTTGAGTTTGGAAAGGAGTTGCAAATTTTGGGTTGACTGATGCAGGATCTACGGTTCATAGAAGGTTCTATAGGCCGTACAAGGCATCCGTAGGAAGGGTTTCAAAAATTTGGAAAATGTCAAGTCTCTGATGATGGTTTATGTATGAACATGACGAGCCGTAAGATTTTCTATAGGCCATAGGAAGTGTGGTAGAGTTGATGCAAACTTGGTGAATTTTGGGAACCTTGGACCTATGGGTCGTGGGATTTGTTACAGACCGTAGGATGGGTTCTGTGACAAGGTGTTTGGACTTGGAGGGTTTTAGTCACTTGGCTTCTATGGGTGATGTTTACGAACCATAGAAGAGGTGACGACCCATAGTAATGATTCGTTGACTAGGACGGTCCGTAGGAAGACCTATAGTCGTAGGTCAGAATCGTAGAAGTCACTCGATAGTTTTAAGCAAGGGTATTTTGGTCTTTTCCTACAAATCTAACCCCTAAACTACATCGTTTTAGCCTTATAAGTACCCATATAGGCCGTAGAAGGCAGCCGTAGGAAGGGTTTCAAAAATTTGTAATATGTCAAGTCTCTGATGATGGTCTATGGATGAACATGACGAGCCGTAAGATTTTCTACGGGCCATAGGAAGTGTCGTAGAGTTGATACAGACTTGGTGAATTTTTGGAACCTTGGACCTACAGGTCGTGGGATCTGTTATAGACCGTAGGATGTGTTCCGTGAAAATGTGTTTGGACTTGGAGGGTTTTAGTCACTTGGCTTCTATGGGTGATGTTTACGAGCCATATAAGAGGTGACGAACCGTAGTAATGATTCGTTCAAATTGTCCAGGATTTTTAAGTCCTAATAAGTGATTCTACGGTTGACCAGGACGGTCCGTAGGAAGACCTACAAGTCGTAGGTCAGAACTGTCACTCGATAGTTTTAAGAGCGAGTATATTTTGGTGTTTTCCTACCAATCTAACCCCTAAACTACATCGTTTTAGCCTTATAACTACCCATATGCTCATTTTTACCCTCACCACTAAGTCTAATTTCTCTCTTTCACTAAAAATCTCCCAAATCCCTCAAGTCTTCTTCTTCAAATTCTCTCAAGAGCTCCAAGGTGAAGAGCAAGGGTTTCAAGCTTCAAGGTCTCATTCTTCTTTGATTCTTAGGGCTTTTATTATCAAGGTATGTGTGAATTCACCAATGGATCCCTTTAATTCATTCAGTCCCAAAAGAATCTCAATCTCCTAATTTGATTTAATCCAATTCTATTAGGGTTAAATGTAGTTTTCCATGGGTCCTATTTATTGTGATTCAATTGTTTACATTCAATCTTATTATGCATGATTTAATTTAATTACATGAATTTCAATTGATTTCCATAGGGACCCACGCCTATGCCTGAACTTGAATTATGAACAATGCTTATGAAATTATGAACTATGATCATGAGTTTGATTAAGGATTTATGCACGTTTTATGAAAAAACTAATTTATGACTAAAGAATGCTTATAAAGTGTTAATGGTTTGTGAAAGGTTTTCTCGTAATTGAATAAAACCATGATTTAGATGCTTAGAATGGTAAGTGTTTACTATGAAAGTTTTACGAAATCTTGGTTTGAAATGAGCTACTCTATTATGACTTATAATTGGTTTGGTAATCTTAATTGTTGCTTTTCCAAGTATTTTGATATGAATATGATTATGTCTTTTTCGTTGAGATTACTTAGCACCGATAGTACTTTGGAATGAAGACCATATTGCTAGTAGAGGTTTGGTCTTTAGTAGAAATTATCTTGTCCATAACTACGTGCCAACGTAGGATTGTCTCAATTGACCTAAGCTAGTGGATTCACTTTAGCAAAGAATGAATGTGACATAATTTTACCTTGGCAAGTAGATTCTTCTTTTAAGGTGTGAGGGTCATGGCAACATGGTTAATGGTAAATATCCCACAAATGAATAATGTTTTCTTCAAAGGTTTTATGAAAGTCTCTCAAATAGTTTCAAGTATGCATTGACTTCGTATATGATTTATGATTTCTTTCTAAAAGCTTTTATTTCATTTTACTTTGTCTTGCATATCATGTTTAAGTTCATCATGTTATCATGCCTACATTTTATGAATTTCCCTATACTAAGTACATTCATTTTAATAATACATACTTGTGCCTATATTGTCTCATAATATAGGATCCAACGTTCCTCCTACAACTCGTGGTTAGGTTGGATTACTTTGT